GTCAGTGAAAAACGTAATCTGCTATTCAGAATGATGGTAGCATTGCGAAAAACGATTCGTCAAATTCAGCACGCCCAATTTCCCGGTTTCAACCGTCTACGTAGTAGGAAATTTTATTCTTCCTTTCCCAAACGTTATAATTCAATGACCGCGTTTCGGTTTGTTTTACCTGAGGCATCAGCATCCATTCGACAGGTGGATGGGGGCTGCTTTTTCATAAATTAATATAGACCCTGATACGAATCTTTCTGATCGGAAATCTTTGATCAGCCAATCAGTAGCTTGCGGTTTGCTCAGGTTGAAACTCCATATCGGCTATTAAATGATGCGAGACCAAGCAAATTTCGCTAGAAAGGACCTGTTGAACATATTCTATAAAGTACGCGCTCTCAGCCGTTCTCTGGCAAAAGAAATGAGTCTATGACCACTAAACGTAAGACCCTAGACAATAACTGACCACTGCTTCAAATTTATATTTGTGCTACTGTGGTGCTTATGACTGTTAAATCGGTTTGTACTTGAAGGAACTCTTTGCCATCCTCACTGTGGTAAAATTTACTTCACTGTTTCCTCACTGAATGCAGCCTAAAGTCCCTAGTGCACAGTGGATACAATTAATTCTTTATTGCAGGCTGCCAACTGTGATGAAATTTGTTATGTCTGAATGAGCCATCAGACAGTAAAACTTTTGCATCCCAAGCATTTTAGCTGAGTAAATAAGGCGCGAACTCTTGGTAAAAATGCCTGGGATGTGTTGTTGATTCATTGACTCTGCTCGTGACTCAGGTATTCTTCTGACGAAGCTTAGATGTTGCTGCAGGATCATGAGCGTTGAAGTGACACTGTTGGACGCTGCTAATCTGAAAGGACAAGCAGCCATTGAAACTGACTGACCGAACAGATTCAGTGATTGTTTATGTAAAAACTAAAAATAAATCTAAGGTAAATGGCATTACAGGACATATGCATTAAAAGTTTTCACATGTCCATGCGAATTATGTCAGGCAATAAGTAATGATAGCTTCCGTCAGCAAAATTTGACATTTGGATTCGCCTTCTGTTGAAACACACTCAAATATAGACTGAAATATAGATTAACAAATAGATAGATTACTAGTAGATGGATAGAGAGATTTTCAAGCATGGGAAGAGGTTTCGATTCATTCTGAGTGTCAATTTATTTACGCGTTTCGACGCCGCACATTGCCTCTTCATCTTGAATAATGAGCATGGCCTGAATGTTTTTTTAATAAGATGTAATGGCAGTCTTCGTTGATTATTGATAGTACTGTCTATCAGCAATCGAAAACTCATGGTATTGACCTCACTGATAGCTATTTATTCAGAGGGTTATCATCTCATTATGCTACTATTATGTACCATGAGTAAAGTGCCCTTGGAAATCAGTCCAAAGTAAGTAGTCATGCCATGAAGCCATAGTCAGTCTAAGACTCTCTTGTTTATTGCAGAAAGAAACGTTTGACTCATTGGACTGCTCGAAAAGTTTCGCTTGAGTATTTCGAAGTATTTCTAACCTGGAATTTTAATCTAAAATTTATTTTTATTTATTTTTAACTTAATTTCAAATTTATCAGTTCTGGCCAACTTCGTTTCAGTGGAACTACTGAACACTTCACTTTCTCTGCTTGAATGTCCGTGCTGTAGGCGACACAAATGATGACAATGGGGATGTATATTAGCACCGACAGCACAGATACCGAAGATCCAAAATTGTTCATTGGCTTGAACATAGAGACTAAAGTTTATCAGTCAATCAGCCTATTCCCAGGTCTGATTCCCGTTCAAATCATCGTTTCGAGGAGGAGGTTCAAAAATGACTCTGTTGAGGTTTCATCAACAACCGAACTCTTACCT